TTTAAGTGCCCTATTTCCTCAATCAGCTTCTTACTACGTGTGATGGGATTTATATCTTCTGCCATTCTTGCAATAGTTTTGGTTATTTCACATGAGAGAGTTGTCTTTCTCACTAGTTTGAAGTGGGCAGGGCTCAGATGGAAAACAAGCAGTGTCACATACTTTAGTGCACCATTAAAGATTCAGCAACATCAAACCGCATCTGCACAGTCCTGATGAATAAGTTATTAATACTAAATGATTACTAAATATGTTTTTGTTTTGTCTTTACTTTGATTGTAGCTTACTACGGTATGAATAGGTATTAGTATGGAGACGTAGTTAAAGGTCCAGTGTGTAGGATATGGCGTCTAGTGGTGAGGTTGCAGATTGCAACCAGTTAAAACCTCTCCCGTGTGCCAAACATTTTAAGTGAATGTACAGCTGAAGTCGCAGTTTATGCAGAAATAAATGCTGCAGCTCCTCACGACCAACAGAGGTTTACTGTGTTTTGTTTTCTGGGCCCTGGAGACCAAAACAACGGAGTCCCCTGTTTTTTGTAAATGGCTCATTCTAAGGTAACAAAAACACAACGATTTATATTTTCAAGTGATCATACTCGTAAAAAAACCTCTGAAATTATATTCTACTTCTGCTAATAGCTCCCCCTAAATGGTACACACTGTTCCTTTAAGACGTAACACATACGTAAAGCAAATCCCTGACCTACCTGTGCACTGAGATATGACGTTTGACCACGCTTAAAGAAGAGCTGCTTTATAAAACTCCACATAGGCATCACAGCTTTTTATGACATTGAAATCACTCCTTCCGGCTGTCAAACACTCTTAATGCAGGTGTCTCAGATCAAACTGGGTGTGCATACTTGCATTCGTCTATGTATTTGTGTATGTGCAAAAATGTGTGTAACCATAGGGCCATTTCTTTAATGTGTTCGCCTACCTTCTGGCTCAATGTTAAACCCCTGCATTGCAGCACTGCCAGTGGGATTTCAACAGGCACGACCCTTTTTTTTTTTTTTTTCTTCCTCTAACCCTCCATCCTCACAAGGGAGAGATTAAATTTGGGCCAGATCTCCTCCTGCATAGAAAGCTCCTCGCTCACACATGCCAGTCTTCCAGCGTTCATATGCTACGCTCCAGAGAGCGCAGGGCAGCTGAGAGCCCCCAAAAGTCTCCTGTAGTCTCCCTTTGCCCCACATGAGTCCCCTCCCTCCCCTCTCTGTGTGGGAGAAGCAGTCATGGAGAGCCACGTGTCTTAGAGACAGACACAGACAGAGAGAACAAGAGGCTGAGAGAGAGAGAGAGAGAGAGAGAGAGAGAGAGAGAAAACATGGGATCTGTGGGGGCTCTGCAATTTAAGTGCTGTCTGAGAAGCTGCACAGTAATCTCGTTTAGAATGGAAAGGCTCTGTAGTTTGGTGCTGAGTGACTTTTCCAGTTGTTTGGACTACATTGCCCTCTTCATCAAACGGGGACCAATTGTGGGATAAAAGGGCACATAAATCAGAGAATGTTCTTTCTCTTGGACAGCAGTGTGACTTTAGTGGGAATATTAGAAGAAAGCTTTGTTTCAAGTCTCTTGGACTTGGTTTAGTCAGTGAGGCACACTTACAGCCGTGGACGGAGTCAATAAAGACAACAGCCAGCTAAAACACTGCTTTTGGGAGTCATTTTCAGTGCTGAAAAACAAAAGCTTGGACTCTTGAGAAAATGAAAATGATTTGGGGTTTCGTGGCAAAAACTTCAATAACAATGGTTTCAGAAGACACAACAATCATTATTGAAGTGTGTGATGGCCAATGAGAACATTGTATAACTGTACTAGTTTGCATCAAATCTTAATTATTTCTTTATAACATTATATATTTATTACAAAATAAACAGCAATCAGTGTCAATGTATTTAGGTTTAGTTTTACGCTCTTTGTTTTGATCAGTTTTGATTGACGGTGATCAAACATTCCCACCAACTGTCAACAGATTTTGATCCAGATGTTGCTGAATCCTGATTGGTTCACGGAAGTACGGAACATAAGCCTGTTTCCAACTGAGCCACGCCCACTTCAGACCAGTAGAAAGAGAAATACAGAAATCTTTCATGTGAAATGACCAAAATTGTTCTAACTTTTTTATGAAATATTGTTGTCGTAAACTAAAGGATGAACACATTTTTATATTGGATAAATAATTCTTCAGGGCCTTTCAGGGCCATTTAGAGATTATTATTTCATTTACCGTCCATCACAATATTGCAGATTCATAAAAAATATTTTGTTTAGAAAAATATTGTAAAATATCTATAGAGATTATTTCAGTATAACCTAAACTGCTGTAGCGTGATTAAGTTATTTAGACCTGTTAGCTCTACTGTAGTCGTTCAACATTCCTCCTCAACGTGCAGGAATTATTTCATCTGGTGACAATACATCCTGACATTGAATGATTTGGCTTCTAAATGTTCATTTTGATAAGAACATGGTTCACACACGTGGACTTGTGATGAAAACCAAAGTAAAGAGTCTTCATTAAATCCCCTTTCCTTTTCCCCCTGCGTAGTTCAGTCCCTTGGGGACATAAATAAGTGTGTGGAAGATCTAATTATGTTCACCAAGAGGCAATTCCCTTTACGTGATTGTATCTCAGAATCTGCTCGTCAGGGCCTGTCGCCGCTGTCAGCTAGCCAAATTATGGTCTTTCAAGATTTTTTTTTCTTCCTTTTTTTGAGTGAGATTTGACCTTAAATGTGTCTTTACGGGATAACATTTATTTCTGCTGTGACCTTATGTTATTTAATAAATCTATAACAGGCAAGAACCTTTATGTTTCTGATCCGGTTCAAATGAGTGGTTTGTTTTCATTTTTTTTTATTTTGAATTCAGTCCTTGTCAGTTGACCTTTCTGTTTGAGATAAAATGCCACTTGTGTTCTTGGAGTGATGCAGTGTGAAGCACTGCTTTTCTCCTCCCTGTCACTGTGGTGCCTCAGCTAACTGCAAACAACTCACTTTGACAGTTTCATAGTGTTTTCATGAGGACTGCAGGTATTTTACTGTGCAGAAACCTAAAGAGTCCCCAGTCTATATTCTCCTCCATGCACCAGGAAATTACCCTTCAGTGCAATATTTTTCATCAGCCGTCTCGTTGTCGAGAAGTGCTTTAGAATTTAGAGACACGTTTTAGAATTAAAAGGTCACCGGCGTGAGGTATAGAAAAGGATTTCTTTCATCATAGATTTCATGGCATCAGTGATGCCTAGTGATGGAATGGTCTCTATGGTTCTACTCAATTAAATGTTTCAGTGTGAAAATGAACTGTTTTAAGTATGTTCAGCAAAAATTAAATGTAAATATAACACGTTCAATTCACAGAAGAAATGCTGGCGATGACGGAGTTGTGTGAAATGTTTTCCTTCACTGAAGTGCACAAATTGAAGTTGGTTATCTCTCCCCGTGGATGTGTTTTATGATACAATTACAATAAAGCAATTAAGTCCAGTGAATCATGAAATTGATTGTTTTGCCAACAAAGGAGAAGGAAATTGGGCCACAAATAGAATATCCTCAAAGGTCTGCATAAAAGCACGGACAGAATTCGACTGACAATACAAGTTCTTTAATTCTCTCGTCAGCACATTGTGATTTGCAAACGAATGAAAGGGCACAGTAGAAAGTCCCTGGTCATGGTGTGCTGCTCAGAAAGTGACTCAGAGCCGGTTGTCGTACCTTTAGGGAATAGTGTGGCATTTGAAGAAGAAGAAAAATGCTAATTTGCTTTCTTGCTCATCGTTACAAGATTGAAACCGTTCTCATATCTGTATGGTTACTATAAAGCATGAGAGGGTTAGCTTAGCTTAGCAGAAACGCTTGGAGCAGGGGGGGAAAGCCTACACTTGCACCTGTAAAGCTCACTAATTAACACGTTGTATCTCCTTGCTCCCTGGTAACCCCCTGACAACAATACTCCATGAGTCCACTTAGGTTTTTGTACAGGTTAAAGAACCGTGATATACCGTGTGCATATCCCCCGTTTCCTGTCTTTATGCCAAACTAAGCCAACCACCAGAGTTGTCTGACTTGGTTCAGTAAGTAGTTGTTTAAGTAATCAATTATGCTAAATTTGTCAATTGAATATTGAATCCAACATCTTTGCCATGCGAGGAAATAAGCAAATCTTTATTCACTAAATGTGATTTTGTTCTCCTGAAATTCTTTAAACCACAAAGACTATGAAATGTGTGTAGCTTTGATGCTTTCCAGCATTTGTCCAACACAGTCATTAATGTGGTGGTGTTCATTTGTCAATAAAACACCTCACATGCTACAATAGAATATCTAGAAATGGCTGATTCATTTAGTTAATCTAACCCCTCATGTTTTAGGAATCTATTGTGTGAACTCAAAGCTATTGTAACTATTGTAAGAAAGCAGTTTTACAGCACATTGGTTCACAGCCAGTTTTCAGAGAGTAATTAGATTGATACTACGGCTATGCCCATAATTCTATTTAATAACTGGTGAGGCGTAATGTGCAACGGGTAGCTTTCAGTCATAATTAATTCGTCCTGCACCTTTGTGGGTCAAAACATTCGGCTATTTATCAGCTTGTTTATGTGACAGGGAGACACATATCAATATTCTTCTCTTGGATAAAAAACTATCTTTGCTGTAATAACATTCTGTAGTGTGCAAATTGAAAGTTTAATTTTCCATGGTTTTATTCAAGGCTGCTAATCACACTTGGTGTTCATGGAGTATGATGTACTGCCATGGCTTATCTTTTAAAAGATACACACACCAGTTTAAACTGCTTTACATAATCAGAGAGGTTTGACCTTTTTGCCAAATTTCTCCAAGAAATAGAACAAAGATGTTTCTTTGCCTCCACTGAGTTCACGTTGTCTTTCTCTTTCAGAGTTTCTGATTGACAACATTCTCACTGTGATTACCTCCGGCCGCTTTTCAAGAAATCAAGATTTGGTTGTAAGTATTCCACCAGCGAAGATATTACGTGTGGCGCGAGTCGAGGCTCTGAGCCAAATGCTGTGACCTCTAATGTTGTGAGATGGAGAGGGAAGGAGGGAGGAGGAGATCCTCCACTCCATCAGAGCAGTCCGGTGTCATTGCTGTGACCGTCCTCTTTGAGGGGACACGGATCACTGCACATTGTTAGATGCCTCCATCCTCTGCAGCTCCCCACTCAGAAATATCACCCATTCCTCGTCCTTTGAGAAATCAGGCTTGCCTCTGTGTCCTCACTGTCCACAGAAGGCATGGCCCAGATGGCAGACCGTCTATGGCTGGATGCTTTTTAACTGTCCAGTAATATAACACTCTGATGAGCTGTGGGGTGAAGCGCTAATTGACCTCAAAGGAAAATTCCGCTGATTACCTATAATTGCTTTGTAGAAATGAATTCTTCCTGAAGAATGGACTTATTCATACGTCAAAACAAATTATTTCAGAGCAGTATTTTTGGGGCTAAAAATGGAATCCAAAAATCAAAATATACATGTAAATAGACTTGTGTAATCACATGTTTTGGACTCCACTAGATGTCAGCAAGAAACGCTGCGTGTTGGGTTTTCCCCTCTCTCCCATCTGTTGTTAGAAAAGCTCTGCATGTGCCAGGGCGGAGGGAGCCCACTGCAGTGTGTAGTGAGCAGGAAAGGTGTGGCGAAGGATGAAGGTGCACCCCACTGTGAACAAACATGATTTACTGTCGGAGTGGTTGGGTCTCCAGCATATACGTACCATGCACACTCCAGCACTCAACTGATTAATCAGAGTTATTTCTATGAGTGATGGAAGCTCTAGAGCCTTAGAGGCTACAGGAAGCTAATAAACCCCAGCGGACAACAGCCACGCCTTGAAGGACTGTTGCTAGCAGCATATTTTATACCGACTCTTGTTACTACGGCCATCTGCCATTGTGTAGCCCTCACTGCCCTTTGTCAGTCTCTTCGTTGTTAACATTGATCTGCTCAACATCCACTGAATGAGAGTTCCAGCTCTGGGGATTGGTGGTGCACACTCAGTTGTTTGAATACGCAGCACCATTAGAGGTTGCAGTTTTGCGAGGCGGAAAAAACAAAAGAATGAGATGAAAGACACTCCATAGAGATCAGAGAGTCATGTGACAATGTACTGTAGAAACAACAATGAGGTACATTCGTTTTGTTTTTTTGTCAGACCAACAGTCCAAAACACAAATAAATTCAGTTTGCTATAATGAAAGACGGTGGAAAGGAGCAAATTGTCACATTTTAGAAGCTGAAACCAGTAAACACTTACATTTATGTTTGAAGATGACATTTTTTGTTTCAGCTCTACACTTAAAGCTTTTATCATTAAAATTACCTTTATTGTTGCTAAAATAAATCAAGCTCCTGGTGATGTTCTGAGTATTAATTTGTACAATCTATAAAACCACAGTTGTTACTGAAACAGATATAATCTCAAAATGTGCCATTAAATCCTGAATTGGCGCTTTCACCTGCAGTTCCCCTTCAATCTTCAGTTGCAATAACACACATTGTACCGGTTTCTGAGCAGCGGTGTAGAGACACATTATAGAAACATGGCTCGAGCAGAGGGGCTTCCCTCTCACGATGCCAAATCTTAAATGGGCCAACGCAATGAAACACAAAAAAATTCATTTTTGCACCTCCTCCCATCTGCAGCACCACATCCTAACAGAGAAGCAGATCTTAATCCCCGACTGCCAACCAGCCACAGCGTTCTACATTTACATGACGGCAGCATTCGCTAAAAAGATTTGGAGATCAGGGGAGCGGCAACGATGCTTCACTGCTTCAGGACTTCACTTGATAAAACGGAGCACTGGATGTGATCGTTTGTGCATGTGTGCTGTATATGGAATATCGTGACACATCTTGTCTTGTTTTTTGTTTTTTTTGTTGTTCTCATATCCCCTACATAGAAAAGAAGCATCGCAATCTTTGTCATCCTTCCTACTTCCCTATTTTCCTCTCTTCCTGTCGAGGTTCTGTGGAATGTCTCCACCGTCTCTGAAATACAGTCACCGTGTTGAAACACAGCCATGTGCCTTTACTCATTGCTCAGAAAAAACACATAGCATTACATGTGATTTTGTAGAAAAGCCTGTCCCATAGCCATCGACTGATTGGCTTGACTGAAATACATGGCTGCTATAGTCCATGCAGCTAGTCTCCACAACACGCACTTATTAAATATGTATTCTGAGTTGCACTGTATCTCTCTGGAGACTTGGCCTGTTTAGTTCAAAGTAAGGTCTGATGGGGGGGTTCTTCTTTCCGTATTACTACTCAGTCAATTAAATTACTAGATTATTAGTGCATTTGGTGTCTGCTGTCGCAGCAATAGTCAGCAATATAAAACAATGATGAGAGCATTCGTCATCTGTCACTACAAATCACGATACTTCTGTGTTTCATGTCTCATGGGGCAGGTGCCAGTGTTGCTCACCATGGGTTTACCTGGCGTGCAATGAATCTTGGTTGGATCAATATCCTGTTCCCACTCAGACAGTGAATCAGACCTGCCTGGGTCTTAGGCCACTGGGCTGTAAGATATCTCTCACGTTGTGTAACGTTGAGTGCACAACGGAATGCAGGCTTGACGAGCTTTTATAGATTCAGTAGCGAGGCCTAAATGTCATACCACATTGTTGATGAAGAGGGAATATAAACTATTGGGCTTTATTTAGTCCGAATCGCATTGGAAGGCTGCCATTTTACTTTCACCCTTCACAAAACAATATGGAGGTGGAGAGTAGCAGGAAGAGCTGAAGCAGCCGCCCTCCAGGTTTGGTTGTAGCTGCTGCGATCCCTAAAGGTGATATTCTGTATTTCTTCTTCTTGTCAACAAATCCCATAAAAAGACCAAAAACAATGATGAACTGATCCTGATAACAAGTATTGTATGTGTAGCCAAAAGCCTGATTTAGCTTAGAAGGGCTCCATTGTTTGCACATCAATTAGCGTCACCGTTTTACTCGGTGACATGTTCCTTCATTGCGATGAACGCGATCACTGTTGTTACTTGCATACCAAAAACTACAATGCCCAGCTTTTTTAGGAAATTATTTCACCTTTATTAAAAAACAAACTATATATTTAAAATTTAACATTTAACGGTTTATGTCATCCGTGGGAACAAATGAGCGTAGTGCCACAGACAGGGTGGGGAAGTATTGTGAGACAGACTGACACATTGTTGGTTTTGATGTTTTTATGGGATTTGTTTGAACAAAAGTCGACAAAATTCGCCAGCAGCCTACATCCAAATGTGAAGATGTGAAGATGTAAAAGGCTGTGCTTGTATCATTTTTCTTAATGTGAGTTTTACTGGAACAGCTTCACCTCCCTTATAATTACCAGATCACTTCTAATTCAAAAACCAGCAACCATGCATTGCTGCCTGGACTAAACACTGAGAAATGGTATGGCCACAGACAGGAAACAAATTACATTGTTCTCTCGTTCTCTCTCTCTCGCTCTCTCCGATTGTATGTTTTGAAATTACAAAAAGCCATCCCACTCCACCTTCCATTTTCTCAGATTGAGACTTTATTGATTTCTTGTTTAAGTGCTTATTGCTGGCCAGTAAGGAGGGTGATTCACTTAGGGGACGATGATAATTCTCGGTGACACGCAGTTATACCCGAAGGGCTCCAAACTGTCTGCTTCAGCGTTGGTGTTAAGCAAAAGAGTGCGTCACATCTTGTCATTAAACAAGCAGATTTACGCAGTCACATGCTCACTGTAAATAGGAAAAAAGCAGTGGGAGCTAAGGGAGCTGGGTGGCATTTCTGATGATACCAGGAGTTATTTATTTTTTGAGGCTATTATCCCAGGAGCACACTCAAAATTCTCTTTACTGAGCTTCCGATGCTTATTTATAGCAGTGTGAGGTCAGCAAAAGGTTTTCATATCATGCCAAAGATTGCTTCGTAGGATTAAAATCTTCCTTGATGACAGTGGGAGTGGTGCAAGTACAAAGCCATAATTCAGATAAATGGATAGAGATGGCAAGGGAGGAAGAGACTCAGCAGCAGACTATTGCTGCGGTAAACACAAAGCAAATGACGGGCTTCTTCTTCTTGTCTTTGTCTTGTTATCGAAACTAGGTCTCATCTACAGTATTTTCATTTTGTCCTTGTTTACTTATTTACATCCATTCTTTTTTTCATGCAGCTGCAGCCCAGGAACATATCTGAGCCTTGTGGAGTCCCCGAGCAGCTGTGCTGCATGAACGAGGGACAGTTGAGCACATGGATGGTTTTGGATTGCCCTTATGCATTGGACCGGGGCACAGATTGCTGCATACAGCACCTTGTGAGCAGCATCACAAATCAGCCGGCAGAGTAGTGAGAGCTGGAGTGGAGGGAGAGATGGAAGATGGAGAGAAAGCGGGAGAGGGGAAAGGGGAGGGGAGGGGAGGGGGATCCTTTCAGTGACAGAGATAGAAAGAGTTGAGCGAGGGAGAGGAGGAGGGGATCGAGAGAAGCAGAGGTGGGGGTAGTCACCAAGAGAATGAGTGAGCGTGTGTGTGTACGTGTGTACGCATGTGTGTGTGTGTGTGTGTGTGTGTGTGTGGGAGAACAAGTAGTGCTGCAGTGGAAACAGTGCGAAGAGGACTGCAGTTTCTGGTGCTGATGGGAGAGCGGTCGAGGGACGTTATTAAGGCATTGTTACATTAACCCTAAGTGCCTCTTTGGTGAATGGGTTAGCCTCTTGTGGAGAACAGGATTTCGGGATTACGGTAGTGCTGGTAAGGGCGTATTTCAACTCTGTTGTCAGCATTGCTTGAACACTTCCTTTGAAGAATCTGGATTAGAGTTATAAGCATTTAAAGCTGGGGTGTGATGCTGTAGTTTTTACTGGCTGTCCCTGATTTAGCGTGTCCTTTTCAGGTGCTGTGTGCATGTTACTTCCTGGTGCATGTGGTCCAAACTTTATACAAAGCTAATCATAAGCCTTGTGAAGGGAATACTGAGCATTATCTGGGTCCGCATCTGCCCAGGTGTAAACCTTGTCTTCTACCATTTTGTGTGCAATCCGTTATGGTTCCACATCGGGCACTGTTTTTAGAAAAGAGGGAGGGATGTAGTGTAGCACTGGATCCAGATTATTCTCATTGATCGTGCCTCATTTAGCCTGCCCAGCGGGTGTAGTACCTCTTTCCTCGAGAGTGTCCAGGAGGCTGCCCTGCTGACAGATGCTCCGCTTACTCGTGTAGCCACACCGGCATCTCTCGCAAACCCTCCCTGAACACACAGAAACAAACAACCGAAGCCAAAAAAATACCTAAGGTTAACTGTATTATATGCGCGATGTAACACAACGGATTCAAGGCACGGTGCTCTTTGAGAGTGAGAAGTCGGACATAAAAAGAGGCTGACAGTTGTGCTGAGGAGTATAGAGAGTAGAGGGTGGGGATTTTATAAAGTGCTGCAGGATGCTCTTTTTTTTCTGCTGTCTCTCATGGGACATATAGCACAGGCACCACTGAGGTGACAGTACCAAGGACAAAACCTTTCTTGGGCTGCTATCCCTCTTCCTACCTAATGCTGACTCTTGCAGGCATCAGGCTCATCATTAGCTCAACAGAGTTTTCATTAAATCAAAATTAAATCCTGTATGACAAACTGACTATATGAATATATATTAGAGTAATTTTTGAAGTGTTATTGGGAGGTTTATAGCTCTGTGTAAAGCACTGCAGTTTTAAAACAAATCCAAATATAACATAATTTTCACATTATGCTCAAAGAGAATTATGTATTCTCTGCTTTGCATCCTGAAGTAACATCTTGAAATCTTTCCCTCGATTCTCGGTGTCGTAAGATACAGTCAGGGGCTTGTATTTGGAGTGGTCACATGATCACTCCGGTTTCAGGAGAGTAGTAAACAAACACACTGTGGATGTGTAGGATCATATGTAGATGCAGCTGGGTATATATGCTATACCTGCATACAATATCCAATATCCGGAGTGCAGGAGACTATTACATGCTGAGCATGATCTGAATCTCTTTTTTTTTTTTGTCAGGCACTAAAACATTCAGGCAGGCTCATTAAGTCCGTACCTCAGGCTGCCGCTCCCATTGGCTCTCACACTGAGAAATACTCTCATAGTCTCTCATACATAACCAGAAAAATGAGAGGATGCTTTGAAGTTCACCAATCTTATTTCTTTTTTTGTCTTTTGGCCCCCCTTCAAGAAGGCAGCTGGTGCCCGATTGCTGAGAACAGCTCAAAGAAGAGGAGAAATAAAAGAGGCTTATTCTAACTGTGCAGCCTCCTATAGTGTCTTGCTTGAATGGGTGTGTGTGCCCTCTTGCACCCACACCACTTCCCCCCCCACACTTTCTGCTGCTTCATCGCGCTGAAATATGTCTTCATCCGCTTATATTCCAAGTCTTCCTTGGCAGAAGTATGTTCAAAATGACAAAGCCACCCATACTGGACTCTGAGAATGAGTCAGTGATTTTCTCGCTGACACATTAGAACAACTATCATTGGGATTGCTCAGCCACTGTCAGCTTCTCACTCCAGGTGAGAGTTGAGCCTTCCTGGCCCCGGCCCCGGCCCATTTGATGGTGTGTTGCTGGCACACGATGGCAGAGAGCTTCAGTGTTAAACGGTCCGACGCTGTCACCAGTCACAGCATCCCGCTGTGCTGACGGGGCATTTTCACCAGTCTTTTATCTTCTGTGTGAGAAAAACATGCCGATTTTTGTCGTGAGAAGTCTGGCAGCATTTGTTTACCCAACATCTAGGTTTCTTGGAGGAGAGGATTTGTGATGGTCAGAGAGAGAATACAGAGCAGAGTAACACACACACACACACACACACACACACACACACACACACACCCTGTAGAGAATGAGTGAAAACATTTTCAGTGTGTTTCATCATACTGGAGATGTTTTGTGTAACTCCTACAATGTTACTGAAAATCCTTTGAATGCACGCTGAGGTTTTCTGCATGGAAAGTAGCTCATGTATTCAGTAGTTAGCTTAAAGTAATAGTTTGGCATTTTTGGAAATACACTAATTTGCTTTCTGGTGGAGAATTAGATCGATACCGCTCTCATGTCTGTACAACCTGCAGCAGGTTAGCTTAGCTTAGCACAGATACTGGAAGCTGGGACCAGCAACTTCCTGGAGTCTCTGCTGGTTGCCTGGTAACTGCTCTTAGCCTATAGAAATAGTCCGGTACATAACCCCCTCGTAACATGGTGAATTGTCATTTTTACAAACAAATGATAGGTGGATTTTCCTTTACCTTTGGACAGAGCCAGGCTAGCTGTTTCCCCTCTGTTTTCAGTGTTTTTGCTAAGCTAAGCTAACTGGGTTGCTGGTTGTAGCTTCATATTTAATGTATGGACATGAAAGTGATATACGTCTTTCTCCAGCAGAAGGCGAAAAAGCGGATATCCCAAAATGTCAAACTGTTCCTTTAACTTCAAAAGAGATTTCGCTGTCTACATATTTTCCTTTTTAAAGCAAGAATGTCAGTATAGATGCGGCCTATCTGCAGTGCTGCAGAGGCCCTCTCCTCTTTCACAGTTTCTCAACACAGCCTTACATGCAGATTGGGTCACTACCTCTGTGACAGAGTGATTAATCAACCTATCAGGGGACAGGGAAAAGGGGTTGTGCTGAGGGGATGAGGGAGGATGTATGGCAACTGGCTGCAAATGATCCCCGCAGCTTCTCGCTCAGCATTCAAACCCTGGCGCCTCCCACCTTCTTTTCAAGGATCCCTCCTGATAGTAGCTGAGTCACATTCAGCTGCAGGTGAGAATAAGCATTGTTTTATCTACATAAGCAGGTTTGTAAATGAGCCTCTCTGGACCGCCCTTTGGGTCAGCACTCAATGAGATATATGAGGGAGAGTCTTTTCTCTAATTCTCTTCAGTGAGATGATATGCAAGGCACCTTTTTGACATCCTTATCTCGATCGCTGCCCTCAGATCAGCAGTGGCACCAGCAGGATTTCCTGATGCACTTGCATTTTGTGTCGACGTAAAGGTATAATTGCCATGTTGACATCTCTGATTGATATTCACGGTCTTCTCTTGTGGACGCTCATTTCGCATATGCTTGCATTCTGAGCATTTGTGCAGCCCTGAAGCAAAACACAAGGGCGTGATTTCTCTGTAAATGTCCTGTCCTCAATAGCTGCATAAGCAGTTCTGCTGACTGTGTTGCTGATCGGTTGCTGAGTCCGTTGCTTGCTGGCACAGAAAGTACCAACATGTTTAGCCTAAAAATAAAACTAATTACAAAAAAATATAAATTTTCTCGGTTGAAAATCAGAAAGCAAGTTTTCACCAGTGAAATAAGCCTTAAAAAGGTAAGGTTTGTCAAAGCTAACAATGACAAAATGATAGGCTACCTCTTATAGTATTAGACTATATGTCCCTCATTAACTGATGGAACATAAACACCTTAAAAAGAGAGGCCGGATGTTGCTTAGCATTGAAGCTAGCAACTTGTTAGCTGAATTGAATGGCTTAATTACTGTTAAGTCACACTACAGCATCCGGACAGATGCTTGGCACGTTCCCACCGATGTTTTGTGGCAGGAGACTTGAAGGCTCTTGGTCAGGAGTTTTGTAATCTTCCTCTGGCGCATGTTGTGAACCGCATGCTTTGTTTCTGAATTTGCCAGGGCTTCTGTCAGCCTCTTGGCTCTCTACGATGAAATGACAAAAGTGGGATATAGCTTTGCAGGCCACCTTGCAGGAATCTGTCCCTGCCACGCACTTGCCGTTTATTTGACTGTGCATGCCAGCTGAGATCTGTAGGGGACTGTATGCTGACATTATGTGCACAAGTGACGTATCAGAGATATTTTTATGCAGCGTGGCTCAATACAGCAATATAAGACCACGGAATAAGCATGGAAAGATGCAACTGTCAGCAGCTGTAAATACTGCAATGTTAATGTACTGATGCTGTAGAGTCAGTAGCACCTCTAAACTCAATATTTAGATTCAAGCTGCGGTAAAGAATTCAGAGCTTTTAGAAAAAGTTTTATCAGTAATGAGTTTAGTAAATGAACAGAAATGGCATTTGCTGCAAATCTATTATTATTATTATGAATTCTTCTGCTTTTACAACTGATTACTCTTAGGTTCGGCTCAGGCCAAGCTCCACACAGTTTCTCATCCTTCAGTGGTAAATAACAAGCAATGCAGCCATCAGTATCGCCCCTGTAATCCTATTAAAACTTGGCCAAAATGAGAACATTATGACTGTGGGAGCCCCAAGTCCATTTCAGCGGGGGTGAATTACCATAGAGTAGCAAGAGTTCAGGAACAAAGCTGCACATTATCTCTAATTGAAACAACTCCACCATCTCAGCTCGGCTTTCCGGCTACAGTAATGCTCTTTCTGATGGATCTAATAAAATACTATGCCCCCTGTTCTCTAAATGTTCCAGTACACGTTTTCAAGCTGAAATCAAGTCCAGACAGCTCAGAGGGGTCAGCGGTGACTCAGCGGTAGTCCAGCCAATATTCTCCTCCCGTTTCTTCCAGTGTGTTTATCATAAATTTGAGATGCGCGTGACAACAATTACCTTTTGAATTATAGCCTCGATATCTTCTAACTACAACTAAAAATAGCTCGGTGGGATTCAGATGAAAGAGTCACTCGGCGTATCAAATACAAAGCTAGAGCAAACACACACACACAAACCCACACAAACACGCACACATGCAGCTTCTCTGAAAAAAAAACAATCTGCCCTGCTGT